CGGTTTCATATTTTTAATTGTATAATTTCTGTATGCCATCTTACCAGATTTAAATTGATGATCTATAATCCAGAAAAACACCTAATCCGGAATCGCTGAAGTCCTGACGAGTCCGGATTACTGACTTTGTACTGTACTACTTTGAGAATACAGAGAGGAAATACCCAAATTAAAAATGAGGAATTAAGAAACTATGACTAAATTAAATTATTAATTTCATTTACATATTTTTTAACTTTTATGTGTGTATATATATATATCATGGTAATAAATGTAATATAAATGCAGCATTTTCCAACCATATTACAATTAAGAAAACTGCTCAGGGGAATTAAGTAAAAAATTCAAATTGTCATTATTCAGCAATCTTTTGTTTTGCTCAATAGAAAACACTGATTTGTGACCGTGAAATTTCAAGTAATTTAAAATAAATTTTAAATTGAGATAAAAATTAAGAAACATCATAAAAATAAATGCATTTGCTCCAGAAAATGCCAATGTTATGAAGCTCAGGATTTCTACTTAAGTTTGATTTTGAGTGATATACCTAGGTAACTGATAGTAACTTTAAATTTTTAATTACAGCTTTATCTGTAATCGACTGAATATCGATTAGCTAACAAAAAGCAGATAAATAAATAAAAACAGAGAAGACTAAAAAAACTGCTTTGTTAACTGAGTTATAATTCAATCATTAAAGTATTCCACAAATTAATCAATGTCATTTGATTCTGAATGATGCATTTGAAGATTGCATATGCGATTTCTCAGTAAAATAACATTCTCTTAGGCAAGATATCTCTCACAGAGTACACAAAAAGTTATTTAAGAGTCATACCTCTAGTTTTAACCCATAGTCTGTAAGAAAATTGCTGTAGAAAATGCATTACAATATATCACATTTGATGTGTTAAATATGAGCTTTGCAAAAAGGGAATATTTACATATTAAAAGATGAATAACAGATGTATAGCTGTTATGCAAATTAACAATCATTGTTTGGCTCACACATAAAATGTTTGTAAGGCTTTGCTTGACAGCAAAGTTTTATATAGCAATTCCTTTTCTAAATATTGTAATTTATAGTTTATCTCTGACTAATGTAATAGTAATCAGGGCCACCTCTAGCATTTTTGATGCCCTAGATAACCAATACAATCGGTCTTCTGCGTAAATTAAACATAAAAATAATTAAAAACAAAACACACCTTTATTATTCGTCATTTGTGAAAACAGCACTGATGACAGCTTCCAAAAATTGATGGCCTAATGGCTACACAGAAAATTGCCCTGATGGTAATGCTTTATGAAGTGCAAGATGGATATCTTGTTATTCATTAGGCCATTATCCCAATGCCTCCAGAGGCCTCCTTAGGCTGGATTTTTTATTTTAATTAACAGAAATGCTGGAAGCATTCTCCTGACAAAAGTCTCTACAACACTGATGGTAGAATCCATAAATATCTTATTCTATCTCAGGGAATTGTGATACTATGAAAAATTGTTAGGTTATCAAAACATGGCAAAACACCGGAGGGTTATCTGCCTGAGAGGAGGGATGCCTATGAAAACCAACCATGCAGTCAGACCTAAAAAAAAATGCATCAACACCCAGGTTCTAATCCAGGACAAATTACCAGCCATGTATATCATCAAGATAAGGCATAAGTCTAGCACAGATAATTTTTATCAGAATCTTTCCCATGCTGGGGAGAAGATTCATTGGGAGAAAATTTCCTCAAAGGCTACAATCAGTAGTCTCTGCCACTGGTGGCATGATAATCTGAATATACACTAGATATGCAGCTTAGTGCCAGTAGAAGTACTGTGTCAAGACACTATGAGCACAAAGGCAGTAATTATTTCACTATAAGACCAATCACATTCTGCACCCAGGCTACTTTTAACGATGCACTGACTTCTATGTATAGCTAATGCAACATGAAGTTCTCAATGCATGTACTTAACAGGCATATGAAATGAGTTTCAGACATGAAGGAATATTTTAGTCATGATAACCATGTGTGGTTGCAATCCAGTCCTCTTGTTATCCACATGCAAAGGCCAAATGGTTTGTAAATGCACAGGATGGCACATTGGATAATCCTGCATTATTGGGTCCTATCTGCTGCCTGAATGACTCAATATTCAGACTTAAAATTTTTATATAATCTATTAACTCATTTCCTGATGACACTCTTATTAACCATGGTGCACTGCCACATTTAATTCTTCTGTAGATGAATGGTTGGATGAAGAATATCCAGGTCACTCGATTGAGCATGGAGTCCAATTAGCTACCATAGTCACCAGATATTACACCTTTGAATTTCTTTATATGAGACTATATGAAGGAATTAGTTCATAGAATTTCTTTAATTATAGAAAGAGATTTAACTGCTAATCTTAATGCTGCATTCACGTTTGTGGACACAACACTGCTCAATCGTGTTCAGTCAACCATTATCAAATAAGGGATGTGGCATCATACTTTTTCTTTTGCATTTCACTGAAAGATGTTGGGCTATAAAGATATGTTATGTTGCTTGAGTAATTTTTTATATAATCTATTAACTCATTAATCTATTAACATCATTGTCTAAGGAATCTTGCTCTGCAGAATTTATGTAATCTTCATTGGACACTCTATTATAAATAAATGCACTGACTCAAATATATTATAATAATTAACATTTTATTTGTAGGCATACCTTAAGAAAAAGCAAAATATAAGGCCAGAGATATTGATGCTGTACACATCTGAATGAAACCTTAAACATTTCACTAAAACTATCGAATGAAACTTCTTACACTTAATAAGACTTTTTAAATAAAAAATGCAGCACACTACCTGGTTTCAGTCATGGTATTTTAACTAAAATTCTGAGAATATTAAAATGTTTTAAATTTCACGACTACATATTTACATTTTTCCAAAATTATAATTAACTGTACGTAGTTGAAAATAAAAACTCTTCAAATATAAGATTCCTCTTATATTTTAGGATAAATTTTAACCAATTGTGCTAAAAAGACGTGCCACGCACGTCGAGATGCTTTTGTCTCAAACAGCGAGTGATGTGAACACCACGTCGGCAGGCATTAATCGCAAAAATGAAAATAACGTGGTGCACATGTCCCCTAACAACGAGATTGTCTATTTCTCGAGTTACAGCTCTGGATTGCACTCAAAGATGCGGAGCGGCATAAATGAGACACTTTACCACTTGTTATATTGTAGCGCAGGGCACCACAACCATGAAGTTTAGTTGTAGCGCAAGTGTTTAAGAAATAAAACATGGTGAATACTTGACAACAGCATGATTCTGATTAGAATTAATTTGTTTCTGATTGAAATGAAAGGCACATAAATTATTTTATTATGGTATAGAATAGTAGTCTTCAAACTCTGTTAACTCAAGGGCGCTAAGAAGTAAAAGGGATTTTGTGGGGAACCTCAGAAAAATAATAATATTTAAAGTAGATCAATATGTTATAGGTATTTAACATAAAGACAATGAAAGAAAAATAATGTAATTTTTATTAAAAAATTTGAATGTAAAATTAATGTAATTTTTTCATTAATAGCATTAACTGAGACTCCAGGTGTCATCTACCCTAGCATTATATTTAGTAACAGTGGTGTGCTTGAACTTTTTTACACAAACTGTTGAAGTCCAGCTCTACTATGTTATCTGCATCATATTTCACATTCTGCATTAAATTTGTTTCTATATTTTTTTTCAATAATGTTGACAAAGATTTTTTAATAAAATATTTTGCTCCGAATGGCATTAAAAATGCTTGAGAAATTTCTAGGTATCCTGCAGGAAGCCATCACAAAACTTTAGCAGTAGCTCTTTCTTAAAAATTTAGATTTTAATGCCAAATTTGTCATCCCCTTTCTTTCACTGGCAAGCTTTCTAATTTATCCTGGTACTCGAATGGATTTTTTATGCAGTCAAACTTAGTTTTTCTTCAGGGAAATTTTCTCTTATAGTTTCCTTTAAATGCAAAAGTTGCTCCATTGTAGTATAATTTTTAGCACTATCATCTAAATTCAATTCATATTGACATAAACATAACTGTTTAGTTTTGCAAAACATTGCACATCATTCTTTTTGACATGTGATGACTCCATGTTTGGGCTTTAAAACTTATCTGTAACTAAATGCATCTTTATATTTTTTAGTTAATAAACACTAGTTAGCTAGCACTTTATAATGTGAGTGCATAATTTTCTTTTTGAATTTTTATTTTGACTCACTGAGCCCCAGGGTTTGATTTGTGGAACCCTGGGGTTCCGTAGAATAGAGTTTGAAGACCACATGAAAGAAAAATCAGGAAAAATTATGATACAGTACCACTTATTTGTTTTCAGTCTTATCAGAAATCGGAATAGTGGATGCAGGCTCAAACTGAAATTCCTCAGAGAGACATGGTAATTAGTGTATTTATACAGTAATTTAGTAATTATCTATGTGGTTTATTTAATATTCAAACGGTGTAATTATTCTATATATTATACTAATTAAACATCTTTTCTCTCATTCTGCAATTTCATTAATCAAAATATCCATTTATAAGATCCTATCCAATTTTAAAACAAAGAGCAAAAAAAAGGGGGTACTACTTTCAAATAAATATAATATACTACTCATTAAATTTCAAAAATTCCCTAATTCTTAACTCTCAATTGAAAAAAGAAAAATGCTTTGTAAGAATACAAATTTATTCCTTATTGAATATGACATACTTCTAATTTTTTTACTTCTTTGAGTATATATTGTTTTACTCAGTATATGTTATTTCAATGTTTATAAAAGTTTCATTGTGATTAAAATTTGAAGAACATTAAAATAATTGAATGACAATTTTAATTATTATCAATTTGCTGTTTCTACAACGCAATTTCTAAGTAAGGTAAATTTTATTTACAAACTTAAAAGAAAGGTAATAATGGCAACAGCATAAAATAATGAATAAAATGTTATGCTTACCATGCTTTTTAAAACTGCTTTAAACCTCTCCTGTTGTAGTTCTTGTGATTCTTTCTTTTCTATACTGTGACAAAAAAGGCACTTAGAACAATTATCATCATCCCCAGTAACATACTGGATGTATGGCAAACTGTGATCAACAAATTTGGACATATTTTCCATTCGAGGTTTAGTGGCTTCCAGAACCTCCATTGCATTTAATGTCATAACATTTGGAGAAAGAATCATTGTCTCAATTTCTGATATAGGTGATTGTACGAAATGATATACCACATCAGCTAACGTAACACTGTAGTCAATGCCATTAAATGTAACATTTTCTATATCTAAATCAGACTTAGAAGGTCGTAAACAACGATAATTCTGCAACAAATTCAAAAGTACATCAATTTCCAATCACAACATAAATTTAACAAGAAATAAAAATGAATGCCACATTGAGATTTGATTAAAACAGAATCCTTGAAAACTACATAAACAGATAGATCTTAAGTGTATTATTATAAAATTTGCATGGTACAAAAATTTCATGTAAATTTTACATAGTATAACCATTTCATATAAAGTTGTGGCATAAAAAATTCAGGATTAACTTTGATAACATTAATTTTTTTAATTACTGAAATTTCTCAAACAAAAAACTCCTTCTAATATACAGGGTGATTCCAAATTGTTTTTACAAATTAAGAAAGGTGATAGTACTCATCCAGATGAGCAATAATTACTATAGAACATAGGGTCAAATTCTACTCTGAGAGAATAGAGGAATATTGGAATTTCAACCTGAACTTTAACAGTGTTGGGAGAGCGAATGAACGAAAACGAAAGTTGCACAATCAGTTTAGTGAATAACTCACAAAGAGAGCATAAAATGGATAAAACCGAAAACTTGGCTTTCAAGTGTTAATTTGAGTTCAGTCTTTGATGACAAACACTCAGATGCACGTCTTTGGTTGGCAAGGTCTCAACCTCCCAAACGATTGCAACAAATTAATTATCTAAATTATTAGGGGGAAATTATCTATTAGGGGTAAAAACTGCTACCTTGATACTTCATATCAAGGTAGCAGTTTTTTTTTTTTTTTTTTTTTTTTCCTTTTTGCTATATTCTATCCTGTCCTCTGGACTTACTGTGCTGCACTCATTCTATTTGAAGTGCCCTTCTATGGGACATGAAGTTCTAACAGCTGGAACACAGCATGAACTTTTCGTGCTATCTCGGCATACTGCGGAAGTTGAAGTTAGTTGATAGTATTCAGCCCTTCATTAGATAATTAACTTGTCACAATCGTTTGCGAGGTTGTTGAGTGTTTGCCATCAAAGTCAGAGCTCGAATTAACACTGAAATGCCAAGTTTTCTATTTTATCCGTTTTGTGCACTCTCGGTAAGTTTTTCACTCAACTGATTGTGCAACTTCTGGTCTCATTCATTCGATCTACCAACACTGTTTAAGTTCAGGATGGAACTCTAATATGCCTCTTTTCTGCCTCTCTGAGTGAAATGCAACCTCATGTTCTATGGTAATTATTGCTCATCTGGATGAGTACTATCACGCCTCTTAATTTGTAAAAACAATTTAGAATCATCCTTATAATACCGGAGTTCTTACATTTGCATTTGATATGCATAAAGTGTCTTTGATATGCATAAATGGTTTTAGGAGCTGGTTTAAACTAGCTATTACCATTAACTAAAATAAGACATCAGAATAATCTTATTTATTGGAAAAAAAATATTTTTACATTAAACTAAAAAAAAGACAATTAATGGGAACAATGACCTTGCATTTCTTTGGGAAGTTCAGATAAGTTTATACGCTATTGCTTTTAATCTCAAGGAGGATTCTAATACCTCATTAATACGATTATTTTTCAATTCCGTTTTGATAAGGTTAATACTTGAAAAAGATTGTTCACATGAATATGTAGAACCAGAGAACGGAAAGCAGCAAATCCTAGCTTTTTCTGTATCCGACATTTCTGAGCAGCAATCAGTAATTATCAGTAATAAGTATTTATGTATCAATCAGTAAATTGTATCAGATGAAATCGGCAATTATCTTTTCTTCCCATTTATTTCATGACAAGCTCCAGATGAAGCATGAATAATGGATGAATGTACAAGTAAGTTAATGGATTTTAGCACCCATGTGACAATGCACCTGTTAGTAATATCTTCAATAAATATGTCCAAATATATCACTTTCCCAAAACTACATGATATTACTTCTAAGATAAATATATTTAAATAAATAGATGCACCATGCAAGACAGAGAAAATCAACCATACTGATACAGTAAAAATATCAAATGTCAGGAAGAAAATGAAAGCTATAATGATAAAATCATTTAAGTCTTTTATCAAAATATCAATATAGTCTGTTCGGTTTAATATAGCACCCTCTAGGATCAGCGCCCTCTTGTGAGAAGAGCCAAATTTAGTTGAGTTGGTTGTTGAAGAAGGTACGAAGCGGACCTATGGTGCGTTCGTTTGTTCGACTTTGTCTGTGCTAATGGAGCACCTAACTTGTAACTTTGTACATTATGTAAATAATTAAATATTTGTGTGGCCTAACTTAGTTAGTTTTATTTTGGAACCAGCGCCATTATCTCCCGTAACTCATCGCATTTTATATCAAACACATAATTTATGGTCCGTCGAGCCGGAGTTGTTTTGTTTTTGTTAACTAAGTTCATATAAGGGCTACTATACTTGCTTTAAATCGAAAGAAGGGCTCACTGAAAGCCCAGCTAACTAGAATAGAGACTGTCATAGCGGATAGTACCAGTGCATGGACAAAAATCAAACTAGATGCCAAGCTCAAGGCCTTGGAAAAGATGTCTGTTGCATTGGACACACTTCGATTGGAATATTATATTGCTGTGCCTGAAAAGGATGATACTTCTGAATTAGAAGAGGAATTATTAGATCTAGAAGCAAGAATCGACGATCTAGAGGTAAGTTTCAATCAAATGTTAATTGATAATGTTGCTAATATTAATAAGGTTGATATTGCAAAGAGTAGTTGTAAAATAAAGTTACCTGAAATTCCACTTCCACAATTTAGCGGAAAGTATGAAGAATGGAGCATGTTTAAAATTGAATTTGATTATATTGTTACCTCGAATACTCAATTTACAGATGCACAAAAGCTGCATTATCTGCATGCCGCTCTTAAGGGAGAAGCAAAATTGTTGCAAACTCAGGAAGATACTTTTGAATCATTATTTAGGGCTTTAGAAAATCACTTCGAAAACAAGAGAATTCTTGTTAATATTCACATTAAAGCTATTTTAGAATTTGAAAAAAATTATTCATGAATCATCGAAAGAATTAAGGCGTCTAGTAGATGCTGTGAATAAAAACATTAGAGCTTTAAATAATTTGGGTTTCGAATGAAGCAAATTCTCTGATATTTTTTAATTACTACTGTAATTTTAGACAAAATAGACAAGGAAATTCGAAAACTATTCGAATTATCGGTAAACGCTTCAGATGTTCCTAATTTCGATAACTCGATGACATTCTTAGAAAAAAGAAGTCAAACTTTGGAAAATATCCAAAAAAACACAATAAAATCAAAACAAACAAATGAAATAAAACCAAAAGAACCTTCTTGTTCATTCAAATAATTCAGAAAGAAACTGCGTTATATGTAATTCGCCACATTCCCTTTTTAAATGTAGTAAATTCCTTGATATGAATTTTGGTGAAAGATTTACGCTAGTAAAACGAAATAACTTATGTATGTTTGGGACTGTTTGGGAAAAATGTTTATGAACTGTTTGGGAAAAAAGCACTTTGCTTTGCAATGTCGAACGAATAATTTTTGCAATATTTGCCATTCAAAACATCATGCAAATTGCTTCATAAGGATGAGTCATCGAATTCGGATTCTGTTTCAAATAGACATCCGCAGACGATAGAGCAGAAGACAGCTGGCGGGAAGGATATTTCTCCGGCGCCTAACGAGAAGGCGACGAGTTTTCAAATTGTTTTATTAGCTACGAATAAAAAAGTGTTATCTTGCCATCTGCGATTGTTATGATGAAAAACTTCGAAAAGGGAACATTCATCAAAGGAAAGGCTCTTCTTGACAGCTGCTCACAGATTAACTGCGTGTCTGATCATTTTGCGAAACAATTAGGGAGGTTTTCGTTCCGATTTCAGGATTAAATGGAACTGATATTACTTTAAATTATAAATTGAGGACTTTAATTGCCAAAAGGGAAAAAACATTCTCTAGAGAACTTGATCTTTTTATTGTTCCCAAAATTACAGATATGACTCCCCTTACCCCCATACCTATTGAAAATATTGACATCCCCAGGGATATTCCTTAGATTACAGATTACCTGAGAAAATTGATTTATTATTGGGTGCAGAATGTTTCTTTGATTTATTAAAATCAGGTAAAGTTCGCAGCGAGACAAAAGTCTTATTGCTCCAGGAAATGGTTTTTGGGTTCATAGTTAGTGGTATTGTGCATAATTCACCAGTTGAATCACAATACTGTGGTCTACTTACGTAAAATGAAAAAATTGAAGAAACATTGCAAAAATTTTGGGAGGTAGAAAATATTAATTTTCCGGATTCAGCACTTAGTCCTGAAGAGAAATATTGCGAAAAACATTTTAATGAAATTCATTATCGAACCTCGGAAGGTCAGTACGTCGTATGCATGTCCATGATGGACTTTGAATTGTTGGGAGAGTCTAGAAATTTAGCAGGTTTGGGAACGATTGGGTCGGGACTCGAATTTACAACGATTGTATTCTGAATTTATGCAAGAATACAAAGATTTAAAGCATATGGAACTATCTGAGGGATCTGAATCCATAACTGATTCGTACTACCTGCCTCACCATGGGGTTTTATACAGACCAGACAAAAAGTAGTACACGTTTAAGAAGTGGTTTTTAACGCCTCAACTGCCACGACATCGCTATTGTTTATTAAATGATATTTTGTTGAAGGGAAGAATTCCACAGCAGGAATTATTTTCTTATAATGGTTAGATTTAGAAAACATCGCTACGCCTTCACAGCAAGATGTACAAAAAATGTATCGACAGATTCTAGTACATCCCCTCCACAAAGAGACTTGCTCAGAATTCTATGGAAAGGACAGTTGTTGATGCACCAGTGCAAACTTATAAGCTCAACACAGTAACGTATGGCACGTCAAACGCTCCCTACTATCTAGCAACTCGAGCTCTTAAACAGTTAGCTATAGATGAAAGCCAAAACTTACCCTCTAGCATCGTCCATTCGCTCTTACTGACTTCCGGAAAGTATGTCGACGACATACTTTCCGGAGAATCATCACTCGAAAAGGCTAGAATTCTACAAATCCCAATTAATAGATTTGTTGAAATTAGGTAAAATGGAATTGCATAAATGGCGTGCAAATCATCCAGATCTGCTTCTGTCTGAAAATAAAGTTACCGCTCATTCAGAATGCACTTTTGAAGAACGACAAGAATCTTCATCCGTAAAAACTCTTGGTGTCCTATGGAATCTTCAGACTGACTGTTTTTTGTTTGCAAAGACCATTCCTCACTCTAACAGTTATAGTAAACGAGATGTTCTGTCACTAATTTCGAAAATTTCCGATCCACTTAATTAATAATTTAATTGGGCCAGTGGTTACAAAGGCCAAAATATTCATGCAAAGGCTCTGGCTTGCTAAACTCGATTGGAATGACACATTGTCCAGATATTCTATGGCCAAGGAGTGGATTTAATTTCGTATCCACGCTACTCTGAACTAAGTAATCTTAAGATTCCTAGATTTGTATTCCAGGAAAATCACATAGTGCTCCATGGATTTGCAGATGTGTCATCTTCGGCATACGGAGGAGCTGCAATCTATGTTCAAGCTTTACCAGTTTTTCAGGGATTGCCAACCATGGTCGATTTTGTGTAGCAAGTCCACGAGTTGCACCTATAAAAACCTTATCAATTCCTAGATTGGAACTGTCAGGTTGCCTTGCTATTATCCAGATTGATGGATAAAGTGATATCTTCATTGAATGTTAAAATAGAAAATGTAATTCTTTGGTCTGATTCTTACGATTTCTCTTGCTTGGATTAGAAAAATCAACTAAAATCACTTACTAAAAACTTTCGTGAGCAACAGAAGTTGCTTTAATACAAGAGCTTACAGGGGTCATACCAATGGAAATATGTGCCATCTGAATGTAACCCAAGCTGATGTCATATCGCGTGGACTGGATGCCAATGAACATTCTTACGTGTGATATCTGGTGGAATGGACCAGACCTTCTCTGTGAGGACATGCATTATCCAGAATAACCTCTTGAGCCTACCACTGATAATGACTATGTCAAGGAACTGAAAATGTTTATCAGACTCTAATTTGCAATATTAGAAAATAATTCTAGTTTAACCTCTCTCTTAAATCGAACAAATAATTAGATAAAATTAATCAAAATTTGTAATTTTATTTTTAGGTTCTTCAGAATCATTAAGAATAAGGAAAGGGTTTCAGGGCCTATATCCTTAGAGGAACGGAAAGGAGCCGAGCTAACATTGATTCGGGAAGTGCAGAAAGGTGAGTTTTATTCTGATATTGAGTCATTTAAGAGGGATAGCCAAGTACCTCGTAGGAGCAAGCTTAAGTCGTTAAATCCATTCATCGATAATGATGGAATCTTACACGTCGGTAGCAGACTTGCACAATCTCAGGTAAGTTATGATTGTAAATATCCAATCATTTTTCCAGCTAAACATAGGTTGACTTATTTGATCATGTACTATTATCATCTGAAATATTTGCATCTTGGACCAGAAGCTCTATTGAGTACTGTCAGACAAAAGTTTTGGCCCATCAGCGGTAGGAATCTTGCTAGAAGAATAGTACATGAATGTGTACGTGCAATGTTTCAAACACAGACCTGTACCAATAGATCAGATAATGGGTGATCTGCCTGCTGAACGAGTGTCAGTTGAATCAACCTTTAGCAAGTGTGGACTCGATTTTTGCGGTCCGTTTCTTCTAAAAACAAAAAATCAAAGAAAGGGAGTTTTTCAAAAAATTTATGTTGTAGTATTTGTGTGCCTTGCTACAAAAGCAATTCACTTAGAACTGCGGATTAAAAAATTTAAAAAGGAAAGCTTTTTCAAAACTGTTTTGCGTTTCGAATGTTAAAAGCTACAAATCACTTGAAATTGGAAGAGAGTGGAGCTTTCTTTTACAAAAGCATTATTTGTGTGCTTGTGATCAAAGCAATTTTTTGCTTCTTGTAAAAATGCTCACACGAATCAGTAAATTGTTCCCCAAAGAGATTTTTTTCAGAATAGGGAAAATTTTTAAGGGACAATTTAGGAACCAAGCCAGAACAACCTTATTAATATCCATATTTCTAAACCAGCCTACAGAAACAAGACCAGTGAAATTGGTGGGGTTGTAGAAAAATAAGGTTGGGAAATTATTAAAATTGTGAAGCATTTTTTTAGATTTTTAGTACACCAAATACTCACGCATTATTGTGGGGTACATTTTTGGGATTTACTTTATGCGGTTAGATGAAGGAATAATTAATGCAGTGGAAGAATTTTAACGTTGATTCAATAAAAAGATTTCTTCGATTTTTTTCGAAATGAAGAACTTTAATATACAATGGCGACCTCTAAGGATCATTTATCCTGAAATGCATGAGAACGAGAGACGAAATGGTTTAGTTTTAAAAAAAAGGGAGTTATGTGCTGAAGGAAGGTCCTACAGAAGCGGACCCATGTATGCATTTATGTGGTTCCATTTCCAGTTTGTACCTCACCAAAGGTAATGGATTACACTTCTAACTTTGTAACATGTGTACTCTATGTAATTGGAAGATATACTAATGTGGTATGGGACCTCCTTAGTTAGGGAGTAATTTGATTGTTGGAAGAATCGTTGGCATTGTCATGGTCGTAATTAGTAATTGTTTGTATTTTATATTAGAACACGTCAATCAAAACAGTTTTAATCCAACCTAGGAACTCGTTTGTGGGGAACGTGAGTTGATTATCGTTTTTTAAAGTTTATAGGAATCATCGTTTGTTTAATCTGGTAATATGCAGAATTATAAAATTAAAAAATATGAACCTAAAATTTAAAAAATATTAAAAAAAAATTTATGAAATAAAGAGCAATTTATGATCTAAAGGGTATCAAAATTTACAAAAAAAAAAAAAAGCTTAATACTTATTTGTTTACTTTATTAAACATTTCTTTCAACACGCGCAAGCGTAAAGCATACATTACGCATAGTCGAAATTAGAAAATTGCAACCAGAAAACTATTTGATGTGTATTCGTGATATTTATAATGACAAGGAATTTGATTTAAATCAAAGATGGGGTACATTGAGATGAAATACTACATTTAGTAAGGAATTATAAGCCAAATAAAATAAAAACATCTGCCCTGAAGATAAGGATAGTGCTGTAAGATCAACTTCCAGTTCATTGCGCACCGTGATGACCCCCCCCCTCCCCGCAGCGCAGCGTGAAATTAATAAATATTTTTTGGAATGGTTAGAGAAACAAAGGATATGCCTTAATCCATTTTTTGCAGCAATTCCCCTTTTTGTTTGATGTACATTGAAACATGCTTTCGCTTTGTAGATCCTTTGGCAGCTCTAGAATCGGAAATTCTTTTTGCCATAATCGAAAGTTCAAGCTTACTTTTATAAAATTGCTCTAACAGTCTGCAAAAAATAATAAGCCGGATCCAATTCGAAGATTAAGGAACAACGCAATCTGCAACATTAACTGAAATAGATAGTTAGATAATTTTAGCTTAGCTTATACCGTCCGTTATACATTAAATGCGCATGCGTAAACATGTTATGCGCATGCGTAGACGCATATGCGCTTGCGTAAAGGTATTACATGCATGCGTTGACGCATGCGCAGAAAGTTTGTAGCTTTGAGGTCCGGATTATAGATCGTTCCGGATTATGGACATCCGGATTAAAGACTTTTGACTGTATAAGGTAATATATGATAAAGTGACTGACATATCTGAATTTAAATTAATGACTTTTAAAAAATGTCAGGAAATGTATTCACCACTCTTCATAAACACTACAGTCTCAGGCAAGACTTGAACTCAAATACATCATACTTGAAGAAGGATTTTGAACCCAAGCACAACAATGTCAAAATCAGCCTCTCTATCAGACTGTCAAGGATGGTCAAGAATGAGATTATAGACATTAAGGGGAAAAAATATATTTCAAAGAGGACATCCCATATGTTCTTTTAGAATAAAATAAGAGGTAAGATTTCAATATGAATTTTTTTTTAACATTTTACATACGTTTTGCTTTTTATTGAGTAATTCATTTGAACACTCACTTTGTAACTACACATAATTATGTCTTGTAAGACTTTAACATAAGTACTTTTGGATAAGGAGTGCAGTTTCATAAATCATAAAATATCCCAATTAATTGGAATCAAATATATTACAATGAAGCGAAATATGTTACAATGTTATGAAGCTTCTAAACATGCTCGCTTTCATTAAATACGTTTGTAAATTTATACAAATATTTATTTGTATTAAATATAATTACTATGTATCTTGTATTATTTAAAACTGTAAAATGGGTTTTTTTTTTTTTTTTTTTTTTTTTTTTTTTTTTTTTTTTTTTTTTTTTACAAAGAACATTAAATTTGCTACAGAAAACTATCAGAATTTAGCAAATAATGGCAAGATATCCATAAATTTTGGTTGTTGAAATCTGCTACCATTTGTTATTTCTAACGACATTTTGAAAGATTAGGAGGAGATTAGCTCAGCTACTGCAAAATCAGAACCCCTTTCCCAATATCATGCAGCACACATAAACTTAAGTAATACAAAAGTAAGTAAAGAATTCAGTAAATGCTAAATATCATATCAATCACATACATCATTTTCTATAAATGTACTTAAAATATAAAGAAAGTACCTTGTATAAAAAAGATCTGTATAATGAGCATTCAGCTGTTTCTCGTCCATTCATTGCTACATGTTTAAAAATAAATAATACAAGTTAATAAAACACTAACATAAAATTTATCAAAGCAAATCAACAAAACAAACAATGGTGATTATAAGTAAATTCCACTATAATAAAAGTCTACCTAGATTTTTTTTCCTCGTAAAGCTGAGCGATACAGAGGCAGCTTCACGAAATTTCTGCTCTAAAAGCTTCCGTAACCATCTATGCTTTGCAGGATCAAGTTTGCCTTCTTCTTCTTCTTTTTGACATTGTTTTATTAAATTATCTATTTCCTCACTATCTGACCCCTGTTCTCCATTGTCTTCAGGATTCTTAAACCTGCTCTTGGAAACCTCATCATCACTTTCTGGACATTCTTTCTTAACTTTTCGGCGGCGGCGCTGCGTCTCCGACTCCCAACATATATTTTCTTTTTTGTGTCCATTAGAAAATAATTCTTTGTAAATTCCACGGAGCAAATATAGGCTTAAAGATGGAAAATCAAATTTCTCCTGAAAAATACAATATGTGAAAAATAAATTTTTTTTCAAATTCTGAAAATAATGACAAGGCAAAAATATAAACACTTTACGCAATTCAACAGATTTTAAAAATGTTTACGAAAATCATCTTAAAAATTAAAAAAATAAAAAGATTTCTTTTTTCATTTTGAAAATTCAAGCACTATGTTTTTCAGAAAAACGAATGTATGAAATTAAAAAGAATAACAGAAATTATATACATATAATTCTGAAAAAAATTTTTTGAACAAAATATAAACATGCCAAGTATTTTCACATATTAAGCTGCTGAAAAATTATCAGTAAAGACAAAGTAAGAAATTTAGAACTAATTTTTCCCAAAGACCAAAAATTGAAATTCATAAATAATAAATTTCAAATAATCCTATAAATGTTGCAAAGAATTTTAAAAATGTTAAAACCAAAACTTTTAAACAAGCAATACCCCAATTCAAAAAATTAATGAAATTTAATGAAAAGAGCACATAACAGAAGAGGAATCCAATCAATTTTAATGTCACTTCGTCAGGGGGGGAGGAATACTGAAATCAATTGAAATCTGTCATCTACAAAAATCCCTGCTTTTCTGTATCTAGAATTAGCCGATGAACCATTTCAATGTATTTTAATTATAATAATTCACCTAAAAAGTTCTAGCCCTTCTCCAGAGCAAGGAAAAATAAAAGTAAATCCTAATTAGAATCTTGCACCTTAAATAAAGAGAATTCTGTATTACTTAAAGAATTGAAACCAAAAGTGAAAAGTTAAAATACTTCAGTGAAAAATATAAATCGAACTTTTACTTTTAAACATATAGCTTATAATCCAAAGAATTTTAAACTTTAGTGAAATTATGAAACTTAGGTGAAGAGATTTAATTAAAACTCACAATAAGTAATTAAAAACCTTGAGCACTTTTATTAGACCACAATCGAAGCTAGGAATATCGTAACTGTAGTAACATATAGGTTTTCCACTTTGGCTTCATTGGTGAAACTGAAAAACCTTGGTGAGAATGTAATTGCTCAAAAGGCTAAAACATGGAACAAAAGATGGAATTTTGAAACCAAAAGAAAAACTTTTAAATACTTCAATGAACTTTTTTTTTTCTTTTTGGGCAAATAAAAAGATTGCTTTAAAGATAATTTAAAAAATATGTTTAAAATTCATCATATACTCAAGTTGAACAAAATCACATGCGAAGGCCAAAAAATCAGAAGCGTAGCAGCAAACTTCAAGAAATAGGGGTCAAAATGTGCTAAAACAAAAAATGAAATCTCAATTTTGATCTTTTACTGCATCATCATCAAGGGTTTGGTCCAACAAAAGAAGTAAATAAATAAAACAGTCTGTTTCTAAATTGACAAATTAAAAGTTTAAAATTTAAAAATAATCTTCGAAAAAAATAAAAGCAATTTGTGTCTTCTTTCAGTCCAACCCCTGCAGTCCACATTGCTTACTTCGGCCTGTAGGGATTGGACTGATAAAGGCACAGATTACTTTTATTTATTTTTTTCCCTAAGATTATTTTTAATTTAGGTCCATGTCTTTGTTGGTTCACAAACCGGTTGTTTCATTCATTAATCCTTTCACTGCGCCAACAAAAGTGGAAATGAAAATGATGAAAGATGTAAATTTCATATTTCATTTTTGGTTTTAGCATATTTTGACCCTACTTCTTGCAGTCTGCCATCGTGTTCTATGTTTGGGGTTTTTGCATGTAATTTATTCCAGATTGAATATGTGATGAATTTTATATGCAATATTTAATTTATTTTGCATTAAGATATAGTATATATATACGATATAATCAAGAAATAATAAATAAATCAAAACTGAATCATGAAAGGTGGGTTACCCTAACAGGAGCTACACATATCAAAATTAAAATGAAAAAAGAAACATTTCAAAATTGAAACAAAATTAATAAAAACTTATATGAATACTTTTTTTTAATGTTGAAAATTCCTTGGTCTTTTTCAAGAGGATCATTTCAAGGAACCATTGAATTTAATGAATTTTTTTATTAACAAACTCAGTGATTTGAAAATGATGATTCCTGGCAATACTGTTGAAAGTGTATCAGACTGTTGCCATTTGGTAAAATGTAATGTTTATCTTTCAATTTTAATCAACAAATTCAGCAAATGTATTACCACAGCTTGAAATATTTTTATTTTCAATGCACCAGCATGCTGCCATTCAAAAAAGTGTAATTATTCAAATTCAATTTTTCTGTTTTTGAGTAAAAAACAAAGAAATTTAAAAGCAATAATTCATAATAATATTTTTTCTACTTTTCAACATAACTGATTCAAATAAAAATACATCCAAATTATGAGATGTCTCAATAGAAATATTAAATAGTTTTTGTAAAATTACACTAGCTGGACTCATTAAAAACTAACTATACAGTCAAAAGTCGTTAATTCGGACACCTATAATCCAGAATGATCTATAATCCGAACCTCAAACCTACAAACTTTCTGCGCATGCGTTTACGCATGCGCGTAAGACTTTTACAGCTGCGAATATGCGTGTGTGCATGCACATAATATGTTTACGCATGTGCGTTTAAGGTACAACGTACGGTAAAAGCTAAGCTAAAATTATCTAATTCAGTTAATGTTGCAGATTGTGTTGTTCCTTAATCTTCAAATTGGATCTGGCTTATTATTTTTTGCAGACTGTTAGAGCAATTTTATAAAAGTAAGCTTGAACTTTCGATTATGTCAAATAGGATTTCCGATATATATTTACTAACATGTAAAGGATCTACAAAGCGAAAGTATGTTTCGAAGTCCATTAAACAAAAAGTGGAATTGCTGCAAAAAATGGATAAAGGCATATCCTTTGTTTCTCTAACCATTCCGAAATCTGTTTATCAATTTCGTGCTGCTCTGGGGGGGGGACGCCACGGCGCACAATGAATTGGAAGTTGATCTGTCAGCACTATCCTTATCTTCAGAGCAGATGTTTCTTTTTTATTTGGCTTATAATTCCTTACTAAATGTAGTATTTCATCTCCATGTACTCTGATATGATTTAAATCAAATTCCTCGTCATTATAATTCGCTTCCGACAGTGAAGAAAGTGACACAGAAGTTATTGAAAACAAAAAACTTTCGGTTGACAAATTAGTCGGTATTCTCGACACAGCAATTATAGGATTTGAACAGCAGAACTTTGTAACTGAACAAGAAATTATGTCTGATTATAGAATTAAAGAGAAAGTATTATCACATAAAATGAAGCAAGTTAAACAACTTACATTGAAAGAAATGTTTAATAAAATAAACAAATAAATATTAAGGTTTTTTTTTTTTTTTTTTTTTTTTTTTTTTTTTTTTTTTTTTTTTTTTGTAAATTTTGATACCCTTTAGATCATAATTGTTCTTTATTTCATAAATTACGGTTTCATATTTTTAGTTTTATAATTTCTGCATCATGCCATCTTACCAGATTTTAACTGATGATCTATAATCCGGAAAAATCGATAATTCGGAATCGCCTAAGTCCCGACGAGTCCGGATTAACGACTTTTGACTGTATATTTTTTCATTTTCATGTTAACTATTTTAGGTAGCTGGCTGCAGACCTTCATTTGCATTAATTCCTCAAAACAATTTCATCATCATAAACCTAAACAGATGCAAGTTTACAATTTCAACTTTCACCTTTATGAATGTATTTCATTTTGCACCTCCTCATGAAAACCATTACAACTATTTCTAAAGTTATCATATATGACATCATTACAAGTTAGTTACATATTTTAGTAATTTATAAGAAACAAAAAAAATTTTTTTAAATAGTGATTCAAACATATTTTGCAAATGATTTTATATTCATCAATTCTTGACTAACCGGAGTCTATATTAACAATTACTTGGAAAATTGCACCTGCTAATCTCTAATAAAATGTGATAGAAGTAAATTTTAATACTTATATTATAAAAATAACTTGCTAAAATTTACATAAGTAACATTATAAAATGTCACAGTGACATAGCAGAAAATTTAATACTCTGAGTAATTGACTATAATTTATTTTTTATACTGAGCATCATATTGCTTTTTATAACACATTATACTAAAAACTTACCAAATTAAAACCATTGCTTAATTCAGGTAATAATTTTTTCATGGCATTTAAAAGTGTATTCATAGCATTATTTTGGATTGTTTTCAGTTTATTGTTCTTAAATACACAATTCTTTGTGGGAGCAACCGGTTTTATAATTTTCAAAATTTTGTCCGGATCATCATCATCATCTTCATCTTCAGACTAAAAAAATATTTAAAAAGAAAAAAAAAATATTATTTAGTTTTGATTTTAATTTTAAACAAATTAAATTTAAATTTTAACAAACACGTATAAAAGTAAAAATGCAAATTTAAAGCCAAAATTAAATGTATCATGTGTAACATAAATTTAATCATGGTATTAAAGCTAATAAAATTAATTTCATCATAACTGAAAAAAGTGGAATGCAAATTTCAACAATATAACAATTTTCAACCAGAGGTGATGATAGCTGAACTTTAGCTTGAGCAGAGATAATTATTCACAATAAAACAAAAACAATAAAAATTTTCAATTTCAACTCTTCAGAAATAATAGGATATAAAAAAGGGGGGAGTTCAGTAACATTCGCTTTGCAATGTCATTCTGTTTAAAAAAAGGTCAAACATTTATTACTAATAGTTTTATAATACTGTTATGGTTTTTGTATTTGGTTTGCTATTTTTAGTAGAATTGTAATTAAAATTGTTTATTTCCCCATGCAATGCAGCACGTAATGAGTTTAAAGAGAAAGCTATGCCGAAAAAGTAAAAATACAGGAGCACACGTATTTAATAAATAGATATCAGGCTATTGCTTTTGCTTTCCAAAAACCTCGAGAAAATAGAAATTTACCAGAAGTTTCTTGTGACTGATTAAAGCTCCGTTCACACTAGTCCTTTACACAAAAAGCGTCAATGCGGGAAAAAATGTTTTCCGCGTATGTCAGTTCACACCAGCGCATCGACTTTCACTTTAAAGTTGTCATATGCTCGTACCAGATAGCGCTTCATATCAAAAACTTGGGAAAAAACAGGAAATTTTTGTGTGGTATTTTGACTTTTTATGATTATATTTTTAAATTAAAATGGATTTAATTTCTGCTCGATTAAAACTTATTTTACTTCTTGCTTTGTGTTGCAGTTGTTTATATTAATATGTAAGAGATGACTGCAGCAAGGAGATGCAAATAATTTATATGGACAAATGCACTTGAACGAAAACAAAAAGTGGAATTGCTGCAAAAAATGGATAAAGGCATTTCCTTTGTTTCTCTAACCATTCCGAAATCTGTTTATCAATTTCACGCTGCTCTACGTAGGGGGAGGGGAACGTCGCGGCGCACAATGAATTGGAAGTTGATTTATCAGCACTACCCTTATCATCAGGGCAGATGTTTTTATTTTATTCGGCTTATAATTCATTAATAAATGTAGCATTTCATCTCGTTATGAAATGCTACATTTATTAATGTCATGACAGTCATGTCATGCTAGTCTGACATGACATGACTGTCATGTCAGACTACATGACAGACTACATCTTTCATGTAGTCTGTCTTTGATATGATTTAAATCAAATTCATTATAAATATCACAAATACACATCAAATAGTTTTCTGGTTGCAATTTTCTAATATCGGCTATGCGTAATGTATGCTTTACGCATGCGAGCGTTGAAAGAAATGTTTAATAAAGTAAACAAATAAATATTAAGCTTTTTTTTCATAAATTTTGATACCCTTTAGATCATAATTGTTCTTTATTTTATAAATTACGGTTTCATATTTTTAATTTTATAATTTCTGCATGCCATCTTACCAGATTTAAACTGATGATCTATAATCCGGAAAAATCGATAATCCGGAATCGCCTAAGTCCCGACGAGTCCGGATTAAAGACTTTTGACTGTACCAGTATCGCTTTTGCTACTCTCGTGTCAGCCAAATGTCAAAAGAAGAATCACGCACACAATGCCGAAGCTGAACCTCCTACTGAGCATGTTACCTCTGCACTTTAAGGTATCTTGCGGGTAAGCATGGTTTTCACACTTCACGCTCAGGAAACTGGAGAAGCATTTGAGCTACTCTGAAACTAACGGCAATGTTTTCTTTTCTGTAAATATATTTTTTTTAATAACAACTCCATTACAATACCACTTCTGGTGACGCTTGAATCCAAAATCTTTAACTCAAGAAGCCAACGTTTATCCACTAGGCAACAAGAGCAACCTTAAATTGATGTAGATATATTTTAAGAAAAATTCAAAATCTGAGATTTTGAAATCGATCACTATTTTCTCGTAACAATCTATTGCTTTACATTATTCTGTAAAGATTATAAACCATATATCATTTATGGTTGATTATTAAGGTTTATTACTGCTAATAAACTTGATAATTTTCCTTTAACCCTCTGAGCGTTACGGGTTTAGCCTTGAAATTTCAAAGTTCCTCAAAATGTCATGAATAAATGATATTTTCTTGATTTTAATTAAAAAATGACTCTTTCATTTTGTACCTTGATTCCTTTTTTTCCAATATACATCCAAACTGAAATCAGATACATTAAAAGCTAGCAGAAATTTTCATGTATAATGAATGTGGAAGGCAATTTTCTGTATGGAATTTTCCGGCCTTAATGCTGAGAGGGTTAAATAATTTATAAAGCTATTTATTTTATTAGCATATGCATTTTTATTATTATTACCTGAAATTTTTATTAAGATTAATCCATCTGACTTCTTTTTTTTTCATCAAGAAGAAATCTTGAAAGTGCAATCATTTAAAAAGCATGGTATAAACTGGACGTTTGGAATGAGATGCCTGAAACTGAAGCGTCAAGAAGTTGAAGTTAAGTCAACTCACGCAGTCTTCTGCCATCCGGCAAATGCTGCCTCTGAACTCAATCCTGATTGGTTAACACAACTTAAAAAGCTTATAAAAACTGGAGAAAAACATCTCAGTTAAGTTGTTTAATAAGTTGTTGTTTACTTAGCTGCTGTAATTTTGAAATTGGATTAGCTTTCTCTGATCTTTGAATTGTGTTCTGTTTAGCATTTTAGTAGTTTAAAATATAGCTATTGTGTGATACTGTGATACTGTATGAATACCTGTGAGGACAAATTTTAGCATTTTGTTTTCTTTCTTGCGATAAGAATAAATTTTGTTAACTTTTTATCGGACTTGTGCATCCAATCTATTACGAACCTGTACATATGCAACAATACAAATATCAAACCCAAATTTTAGATAATTGATGACTTACCTAACAAAACTATACTAATATATTACTTAATTTAATAATCAAGACCAAAATAATAATGAGCCAAATTTTCTAATAAAAACATATTTCACATATATTAATTACAAATTAAACAAAACTAGCAAAAGAGATTTGATTTTTCATTATGCTTTGGAAGTTGTGATTTTATCTATAGCACTAGTGACATCTGATTAAACACGCTTTGTGCAACTGCTACACTTCTGGTGCATTATCAGAAAGACTAAAAAACATAAAAATGAAAGGTGAAAAAATAATAATTCACTTAAAATACATCATTAAATCCAGTATTACAATTAAAAGAGTTAACAATTCACAAGCCAAGGTCACTTCATTGTAAAGGAAAAGATACATTATTATAAATGTTGTAATTATATAATGATACAACTCCAACCTCTAAATCTTATAAGAAAATTATCAAACCACAATGGAACCATGGAACCACCACCATGGAGAAATTTCCAAGGTGCATTGCAACACTTCATCTTTCATAATTTGAAACTTATACATGTAAACCTAAATATATATATATAAACTTAAAGAAACCTATGCAAGTACAGCACACCAAAATTTTCAAATAACTGAATCCTACCATCTATCAAAAAAAGAAGGGGGAAAAAAAAAAAAAAACCTTGACAAACAGATTTAAAAAAATTTAGTTTAACCTTCATGTATATATAACTAACCCTTCAATACTATAGCATATATATGTTTATATATAAATATTCAGAGTTGGAATCTTTGCAAACAAGCTGGCTACATGGGAATTTTTGTGGTTTCCCTCTTGTGTGACATATATATAAGGCAGTTCCCTTAGAAAGTCCTCCACAAAGGCATCCCTTTCCTTAAACATATAACTCTCTACTGCTTTGTTATAGCCAAATAAATCAAACTAATTTTTACAAGACTATTTTAATACAGTGTATCACTAACTGGTTCCAACATGGATTTCCATAGCGAGTGAATTTCAAAGCTGCACTAGGACAAAATTAACAGATATAATCATAACTCTATTTAGAGTTATAATTACTCCATAGATTTGTTAACAGTTAATATAACAGTGAGCATGAAAAACATACATGCAAATAATACAAAAAGTTAAAAGTATTCTTGAATATGGCATACAGCTTTTACAATCTTTCACTATAAATAATTGAAGGATTTGCAGCAAGAAGGTCCCAGCTGAAAATTTTTACATTTTCAGAAAATTTAAGAAAATTTCGAAAATTCATTTTTTAACATATATTCTAAACGTTTGTCCTTATTAAAAGAGCTGGTGAAAATGATTTTTTACTTCTACTCCAAAGCAAAGAATGATTTTTTTAAAACAAAAGACCCATGAATACAAAATCTACCAAAGTGGAGCTGGGCCCTTCTTGCTGCAAGCACTTCAATTGACACTTTAGCAAATCATTTCTAAAAACTGGAGAAGCTTCTGAAGAACGGATAAAAATGCACATGTGCACTAGACAACAGATTTTATTTTCAAGACTTAGTTATGCTTCTTATTAATTTCTTTACCTGCTTTTAATTTTCTTTATTTCAATAATATAAAAAGTTAATACAATACAGTGCATGCCTTTCCCCACACAGCATAACAGTGGAGCTCCAAAAAAGTTCACTTTAACATTCTGTCTCTTAGCGATCATCGCCTCATATGATTTGTATCGGAATATATGAAATCAGAATGTTCAAACTACCACTGATCTATTGATAAACTAGTCTCAGCAATACTAGTTGGAATCTCTGCAGCAAAAGCCCAAACTATGGCTTTAAGCCCAGGCAAGTATAAAACTTCACACCAAAAACATTAAAATCATAAGGCAACTCAAATACCTGGGTGCCAGTAGATGAAATGGCAACCTCATATCAGGGATATTAGAGAAAAACTCTGTAAGCTGGCTAACAGTATGGATAGAACACAACTGGTTGCTTCTGGAA